CACGGAGCCTTTTACAAGGAGGGAGATTACTTATTTCGGGAACGACGATTATGCGTTCCTCAATGTTCTATGAGAGAGCTTATATTGCAGGAAGCTCACGGTGGTGCACTCATGGGTCATTTTGGAGTAGACAAGACGCTTGCTATGGTGAAAGAGCACTTCTTTTGGCCGCTCCTCAAACGGGATGTTGAACGATTTTGTGCTCGATGCGTTAAATGCCATCAAGCAAAATCTAAGACACCCGCACAGTTTGTATCTTCCTCTCTCTATTCCATTTTGTCCTTGGACTGACTTATCTATGGACTTTGTTCTCGGACTCCCTAGGATCCGAAACAAAGACTCTATTTTTGTTGTTGTGGACAGATTTTCGAAGATGGCTCACTTTATTCCGTGTGCAAAGGCGAATGATGCTTCCCACATTGCCGAGTTATTCTTCAAGGAGGTGGTACGCTTGCATGGCTTACCAAGGAGCATTGTGTCGGATCGGGACCCAAAGTTTCTGAGCTACTTTTGGAAGACATTATGGAGGAAGCTCGGAACAAAACTTGTCTTCTCAACAGTTTCTGAGCTACTTTTGGAAGACATTATGGAGGAAGCTCGGAACAAAACTTGTCTTCTCAACGACATGCCACCCACAAACCGATGGTCAAACCGAAGTTGTAAACCGAACATTGGCTGCACTACTTCGAGCAACAATAGGGCGCAACCTCAAGAATTGGCTGGAGTGTCTACCACATGTTGAGTTCGCATACAACCGAGCAACACACTCCGCCACCAAACATTCTCCTTTTGAAGTCGTTTATGGCTTTGACCCCTCTTTCCCGCTGGACCTATCACCGATTCCTACTCAAGAAATGATCAGCCTTGATGGGGAGAAGAAGGCTGAAGTTGTGCAGAAGTTACATGCCAAAGTTCGAGACAACATCGCAAGAAAGACTGAACAATACATGCGGCAAGCCAACAAAGGACGCAAGAAGGTGTCATTCGAAGTCGGAGATTGGGTGTGGCTGCACCTAAGACCTGAAAGGTTCCCCAACAAGAGGAGCTCAAAGCTAGCCCCAAGAGGAGATGGACCATTCCGTATCTTGGAGAAGATCAATGACAATGCCTACCGCTTGGAGTTGCCCGGTGAGTATAATGTATCTTCTTCTTTCAATGTGGCTGATCTACTTCCGTTTGATGCAGGAGATCTTGTTTCGAGGTCGAAACCTTTGCAACGGGGAGGGAATGATGAGGTCATCGATCTAGATGCGGATGAGGAGCAGCTGAATACGGATGAAACACAAGAAGGAGCTTCGGATGCACTTGGCAAGGAGAGAGAAGTTGCTGACCTTGCCATGCCTACACTACCGGATCCACCACTTACAAGAGCTCGAGCACGCAACCTTAGAGCTAAAATCAACCTGTTCATAGATCATTGGCTGATGGAGACGTCGGATCACTTGGCTGAAACCATAACTGCCCCAAGACATGAGTTTAACTCGCTGAAGAAGACACATGACCAAGTGAAGACCATTTTGGAGATCATGTTGCCAACAACCTGAATGTGGGAGAAGACCTGAACATCTTGGCTATTGGACACTTGAAATGTGCTGTAAAAACCACATTAAAGGTTGACCATAACTTAGCCAAGAATCTGCAACAATCTAACCGTTAGGAGCAATTGGAGGAGCCTTGATATGATCAGAATGGAGTTGACTCTCTTGAAGATCACTTTTGGACGAAATTTGGAGCTAAACTGAAGACATTTCCTTACCAAGAAGCTGTTGCATCTTTCCTTTTCCTTTTTACACAATTTCTAGACATTTCCATTTTGCGGCTGCACCTAAGGCCTGAAAGGTTCCCAAATAAGAGGAGCTCAAAGCTAGCACCAAGAGGAGATGGACCGTTCCGTATTTTGGAGAAGATCAATGACAATGCCTACCGCTTGGAGTTGCCCGGTGAGTATAATGTATCTTCTTCTTTCAATGTGGCTGATCTACTTCCGTTTGATGCAGGAGATCTCGTTTTGAGGTCGAAACCTTTGCAACAGGGAGGGAATGATGAGGTCATCGACCTAGATGCGGATGAGGAGCAGCCGAACACGGATGAAACACAAGAAGGAGCTACGGATGCACTTGGCAAGGAGAGAGAAGTTGCTGAGCTTGCCATGCCTACACTACCGGATCCACCACTTACAAGAGCTCGAGCACGCAACCTTAGAGCTAAAATCAACCTGTTCATAGATCATTGGCTGATGGAGACGTCGGATCACTTGGCTGAAACCATAACTGCCCCAAGACATGAGTTTAACTCGCTGAAGAAGACACATTGACCAAGTGAAGACCATTTTGGAGATCATGTTGCCAACAACCTGAATGTGGGAGAAGACCTGAACATCTTGGCTATTGGACACTTGAAATGTGCTGTAAAAATCACATTAAAGGTGGACCATAACTTAGCCAAGAATCTGCAACAATCTAACCGTTAGGAGCAATTGGAGGAGCCTTGATATGATCAGAATGGAGTTGACTCTCTTGAAGATCACTTTTGGACGAAATTTGGAGCTAAATTGAAGACATTTCCTTACCAAGAAGCTGTTGCATCTTTCCTTTTCCTTTTTACACAATTTCTAGACATTTCCATTTTGCTATCTTTGTCAATTTTCCTTTTCTTTGCAGATTTCCTAGCCGTTGCCTTGCTGCTGTTTAGGCACGAATTTCCTTTTGTTTTTGCTTCTCTTTTGCTATTTATTTCTTGTAATTTCGAGCTGAAGAGATCAGACTTGAATAAGAAAATTTCTGCATTGTTTTCTTTAGCTTTTGGTGTGTCCAATTTCGCTAATCTCCTTGCTTGGTGTGTCCGAGCATCTCTTGGTCTGTCCAAGGATTTCCCTATCAATTCCTTAGTCCATTCACGTCATCTTTTGGTTTAGAAGCAAAGATCGAGTGCCTTAGAGCCAGAGACTAACTTCTGAAACCTATCCACCCTTCACAATCAAGAATCACCATCGATCGTGTGTTCTTAAGCCCGAGTGTGTATCACCATCCACCCCTCTTTGTGGTGTCACCGTCCCACCTTATTCCTCTTTGTTTGAAGTATAATCGAGACGCCTTTGGCCTGGTTTACTTCGTCATTTATCTTAAGGAGACATCGGTGAGACGCTTTCGAGCCTACCGAACTTCATTCACGAACGACTATTACAGTCTTGGTCACGTGCTTGTGTCATTTTTGGTATCAGAGCCCGGTTCAAGGCCACACGCAAGGTAACGCTGTTGATTCGATTTTATTCTTGTTATTTTGATTTGTATGTGTGTTTGTGCAAGAAAATTGGCTAAGAACGCAGAGAACACTCAAACTGTGATCCTACAAGTTCTGCAACTCTTAGAGGAACGTTTAACGCGTTTAGAGGAGGCACCACGAAGGATGCAACCTGTTAGGTTCAATATGCGCTCCAATAACGCAAATCCAGAACCGGATCCACCTGATACACAACAAAGACTGAGAAGAATGCAAAATCCAAGAGTTCCTCTCGAAGAGGATGAAGATTCTGATCATTCTACTCAGAACTGACGAAGGAGGAATGTTCAAAACCAAAGGTATGTTGATGAAATTGATGAGGAGGATGTACCTAGGAGGCAACCACGAGTTCAAAGACACCAAGGTACAGATTTGAAACTCAAACCTCCTACTTTTGCTGGTAAAGTTAATCCTGAAGCTTATCTCGATTGGGAGAGGCAGATGGAAAATATTTTCGATTGCTATACATATACTGAACAGAGGAAGGTTCAATACGCGGCGGCTCAACTCAAGGACAATGCACTCACATGGTGGGACCGAGAAATAGCCGAAAGAAGACGTTCTCACTATGATCCAATAATCTCCTGGAGAGAAATGAAACATCTCATGAGAAAGAGGTATGTTCCACCACATTTCCATCGGGATTTACATAGACGATATCGTAAGTTGGCGCAGGGGACCAGATCGGTTGAAGACTACTTTGAGGAGTTTGAGCATCTTCGGATTCGATTGGAGATAGAAGAGGATGATGAGACTGTTATGGCTCAATTCCTAGACGGACTACAAGAACGCATTGCAAGAAAGGTAGAAAGACAAGTATTGTTGGTTTAGTGCTCTATGATGTATTGTTTATGAGCTTTATTTAGATACATTTGGTGTATTGATACTTTCTATGGTTTATGAGAGTATTTGATTCATTACATGTTCTTGCATACTAGATGTGTTATGAAATCCATGTATCATTATGAATGATACTTAACTCCCTAGTCTTAAGTCATTATGGGAATGATGAAATAATAAGACTAGTATGATGTGTGATTGATGATCATATGGATGATCATAGGTATTTGGATACGATCACAATCATAGGTATTCGTTGGAGAAGAATCTCATACGACGATTCTATGATTGGATCCTAAGACCTGAGATATCTACAGAATCCAACATGAGGAGTTGCGTGCTTTGATTACGTCAAACGTCCTGCGTAACAGGAGGACTATAAAGGCGTGTATCAGGTACGAAATGAATCATGTACTGGATTGTAGATAGTCAATACGGGATTTGTACCTCTCGTAAAAGAGAGAGATATCGCTGGGCCCCTCGTGTGAGCAAGACTGTAGAAATGTGTGGTCGCACTATAGACGAACGTCGTCTATTTCAGACAGTCGAACTCAGTGAACGAGAAAGCAGTCGAATCAGATAAGGTGGCTTGTCCATGCCTTATGTTCGACATATGATATCGCGATACAAAAGGATCATCAGTTGGAATCATCACTGGCTTTCGTATGATCACAAACAAACTCTATTCGAGATAGGTAGTCATAGTGTCTTGCTAGAGACCGCCTATGACTTGTATTACCGGAATGGAGATTTTGCGTTTTACTGCTATTCCGGATGAGCCTACAGGGTCACACACATTAGGGATGGACAAGTACGTGTGCTATATTATCCCGATTAGGAATCCTAATTGGATTGAGATTCCTAATTGGAATAGGAATCCTAATGGGATTAGGAATCCTATTATGTATAGGAATCCTAATGAGGTTAGAATTCTATTACATCTAGGAAGCCTAATGAGATTAGAATTCTAATAGGTTTAGGAAACCTAATTAGATTAGGATTCCTAGTAATCTATTCCTTGTCAAATTAGGATTTTTGGAAAGTCTGTATAAGGAGAATGTCTTCTAGGGTTTTAAGTGAAGAAAAAGAAAAAGAAGAAAAAAGGAGAAGAAAAATAAAACCCTAAGCCTCCAAAAACCTTGCACACAAGAGAGATCGAGAACTCTAGTCCTAGCAGACAAGTTCCAAGGTATTGGAATCCATCCCGACGTGTGGATACATGTAGAGGGCGAGGTATTCTTCCTGTCTAGAGTGATCGGACGAACAGATCAATTGATACAGGCCCCGGATCGATTGAGGTAAGCGTTCTAACGTTTCTATGATTCAATAGTAGCATGGTTCTAGGGTTTCATTAAAATTTTTGTTTTATATCCGCTGCGCAAACCCTAGAATCGATCTCTTAGGAATTAGATTCGCTCATGAGATCCCAGGAAACCCAACAGTGGTATCAGAGCCTGGTTGCTCTGTTATGATTTCGTAGAACCTGATCACGCACGTTTTAGGATTTGAATTGTTTAAATCCATGTTTGCTTTGATATCTATGCATGTTTGATGATTGAATCTAGTGTAGATTGCATGTTTCATGTTGCATAGAGTGCAGGAGTTCGAATTTTGGGTGTACAGAAGAATTCGGTTCAGTTTCGGGTCTGATCGGGGCTGAGAACGCGGGGAAACGTGATCTGATCACGGAGAACTAGCCTAGACCGTCCGTTCTGGTAAGCCGGAACGGACGGTCCACGGGTAACGGACTGATTGGCACAGAACGGAAGGTTGGACCGTCCGTTCTGCCATGCAGAACGTCCGTTCTACTAGGCAGAACATCCGTTCTGACTTTTGCAGTCGAGACCGAACGTTCTGCCAACCTGGAACATCCGTTCTACCTCCAGAACGGACGGTCCGAAGTCCAGATTCCGAAAATTTCCGTTTTCGAGGTCCGATTACGCAAACTCAAATAGACATGATTCATTCTTATGGATGGTCCAAAGTGAATGAATACATGTAACTTAATCAAGATATAGTATATGCTTGATTGAGTGGGAGCTCCGAGATTGGGATTACATAATCGAATGGATGGTCTATTCGGATTATGAACAATCGTTGCACAGAAACCGATTAGATCTAGAAGCTCTATAAGTAAAGCACTTGTCAAGGCCTCGATCGTACGTGTCATGGGCCATGCCAAAGCTGGGTGTGCCGTATTATCTTAGTGAGGCAAGATGGAGAAATGGTGGTTCTCATAGCTTGAAAGTAGATGCTTGATCTAGGTGCGGTTTCGAAAATCCCTTATTCATGTAATGCTAAGTGTGTACCTCCCATTACTAGAGCGCTTGTCAAGGCATCGATCGTCCGTAACACGGGTCATGCCAAAGCTGAGCGTGCCGGATTATCTTTGTGAGGCAGGGTAGCAAATCGTGGTTCCTACAGCTTGAATATGGTTTATCTTGGGTTAAGTTGTCAAATTTGACTTGAGACTTAATGGTACAGATGAGACAAGTATGCAATGATATTCGATATCATAGTCTCATAAAAGATCTAAGAGTCATATTGGATATGATTGACATTAGATGTCTACCTAAATAGCATAAGGATAGGTGTAACAATTTGTTCTTGTGTGAAATACGGATCTTAGTCCCATATAGAAAATTATCGTAGGGTTAATTTTCTTTATGGGAATATAGCTCATCTTTGCATCTATGTTGTCATTATTTGATGATGGACTAGCTGGTAGTGGATCATAGATAGATTGACACTGATTGATGATGGACTAGCTGGTAGTAGATCATAGATATGTAGACACTGATTGATGATGGACTAGCTGATAGTAGATCATTAATAGAATCTGCATGTAGATGTGTTTTCGTTCTGTTTTGTCTTTTTCTGTAGGACATAGCGTTAACCGGTATTGTACCGAAGTTGACGATGCGATCTATCCTTATGAAGGATAAGACTCTAACCATGGCTTCTAGATCAATCATTGATGCTTATCGGAAGCATGTGGATGATGATCCGGACAAGTCTAGCTTGACATTTGGAAACATGACCTCGGAATTGCGTAAGCAATTAGAGGACATG